GGATGGGATGTTGGGCAGTAGAGAGTGAGAAATATGCAGATGTATGACTTTGCTCAGGTTTTATTTTGTTGTATGTTTCTTGTGGACATGAATCCATAAGCGCAACCTAATTTATCTGTTGTGTGTCAATAGCAGACGAGTGTATATCACTTAGCTTGGAATGGGAGAGATGGCCTGAACACACACACACACAAAGAGACAGGTGTTCAGGCTCACACATTCAGAGACAGAAAGGTCGGTGAGTAGATAGACGCATGCACAAGAGGAAAGAGTGAGATAATCAGTAATAAAGAATCATAATCAGTTTAATGCGTTTGGCTTGGCTCACGTCGGTCACATTGCAATATGAAATTTAGAAATCTTCATTAAAAAAGGTGCAAAACCTGAATTGAGGTTGAAAAACTGAAATGTTGTGATTAAATGTGAAATGTTGGTCATTAAAAAAAACAAAAAGCTGTGAATTCCAGTTAAGGATCGTGCTGCATAGCAGGGCTTCATGAAAGGCCTATTGTTCTCTATGCTACGACGTCAGCCCAAGACAGAGACGGAGGAAAAGAATGGCGAGATAAAGAAAGACATTTTGAAACCATCGGTATTGCCCAAAATGTTGTGCACACAGGATTTCTTTACACACAGTAAATTGTGAAGAGACAGTTGTCCTTAAATTGCACTTAGCGAAATTCAAAACAACAGCAGCAATTTCAAAATTTTCATATTTAAAAAGCACATGGTTTCACCAAATGAAGACTGGATTTTGCTGTGCGGTCAAAAATGACTGCTAAATTGCAACATACCAGTACAAAACTGAAATGATAAAAAGTCTCAAAACTGGGTCCCTCTTTGAGACAGAGTCTCTAAAGCAGGACTCACCAGAAATAGTTTGTCATTTTTAAATTTTTTTGGGGAAAACGCACTGATTTGTTTTCCTTCTTGGCGTCACATTCTAACGTGGCCCGGTGCACGGTTGCAACCGTGGTTAACGTCATGACTGTAAACAAAAACTTAGGTTTACACAACAAAACCACTTGGTTAGGTTCAGGAAAAACGTCATGGTTGGGCTTAAAATAAGTACGTAAACTAAGTAAAATGCAAACAACATAAGTGAAAAACATGTCACAAAAATCAATAACGCAACTTCAAAATAACTCATGAGCGCGGGCTGAAAAGTGTAAAAACGACACAACCATTTTAAAAGCCTTTGTCCTGTTAATTGATATTGTGTTTCAGTGTCTTTACTTTTGAGCAGTTGCCTCCTTTGACCACTTGTTAATACCTTGTACAAAATGTATTAATACTTATTAATAATAATAATATTAATAGCGATAACAGTGAAAAATTCTCTGTTAAAAGTAAAACTCCTTTAAAAATGTATTTTGGTAAAAGTACAAAGGTATTAGCGTCAAAAAATACTTCAAATCTCCAAAAGTAAAAGTAGCCGACTCATTAGAATCACACATTGTATCACTTGATAATAATTAGTGATGCATTAATGTGTGCATCACTTTAATGTTGCAGCTATAGTTGATTTATATATTTTTGGATTATTCATCTAAATCTGCAAGGTCACTAAAGTTATCAAATATATGTAGCCGAGTAGAAGTACAAAGTGGCATAGAATGGAAATACTCAAGTAAAGTACAAGTGTCTCATTTACTTGAGTAAATGAACTAAGTTACTTCCCACCACTGGAGAAATAAAGGGAGACAGAGGAGGGCTGGCTGCAACAAAGATTCCCAGACTCAAGCCAGGGACGTTGTGTTTGCTTTAATATTTTGATTAACTTATAGTTTAGCTGTTGAAATGTGGCTGACTGTGCCGATGTCAGCTTGTGATAGAAATACTGTCTAGATGAGGACGAACAGACCTGAAGCAGCAGACAGACAGACAGACAGACAGACAAAAGTAGAAGATGTTTGCCCTGTGGTGCTTCCCAGCCTGGATCAGTCGGGCCTCCTCTGCTGAGCTGAGCTGTGTCGAGCAGCACACAATGCTCCTCTGTCCCCTGCTTCACAGCTCCACAACACACAACAGCTCATTATGGAACCAGAGATCCCCGGCCATGGCTCCCAGTGCCTAAATACTGTCCCCTGCTGAGCACACACACTCTGGTCGCACAGCCCCGAGGCCACAAACAGCCAGTAGGGCTGAGAGAGGCCACTGCAGATACACAGGGTGTCACACACATGAAAGCCCACGCACACACTCACACACTTAACCTACACGAGGATGAACACACACCACCTCATAAGGAAAGATCCAAGTCGGCTATTAGAAGTCTTAACAGAGGTCGCAGAGGTCACCCAGCTGCTCTGCCTTGCAGCCGCTGATGACGGTGGGGGGGGGTGCGGTGCAGTTAATTAACCAGCATCAGACAACTGCCAGGGAGAGAAGGATGGGGTGACAGCAGGGAGATAGGCAGATTGACGGGAGGGGAAGTGACTTGTTTGAGGGGTCAGGAGACGATATCTAAACGCGTCAAAGATTAGGGAGCTTCCTTTCCGACTGTTTACGGAGCGAACCAAGAAGTGGTCACCAGGTTCGGTCTTGTGAGGGGTTGTAAAGACGCAAGACAGCAAAAAAAAGCAGCAGGGGGGGATTAGAGCATGACATCGCTCTAATTATCAATCATGTGAATGAGGAACAGTGGCTCAGAGGTTTGCACTGTCACCTCTCAGCAACACAGACATAGACTACCAAAGACACCGGGCTCAGATCTGGATCTTGGTCTCGCTGTGTGCTCCTGAATAGTTTGACTGGACTCATTTCTCTACAGGGGATTTAAGCATATGTTCAAGTTTCCTTTTACCTATAAAGTAAAACCTTTTCTATGAACATTACTGAAAATCTAAATGAATTTGTCTTAAATCAAAATTACATTTTGATATTGTTTGGGTTTGGTTTGGTTCCCAATTTGTATTACCCTTGAAACAAAGCAGTGTCTGTTGAACCTTCAAAAATGTTTATTGCATAACTTCTAGGAGCCATAAGACATAAAACTATACATACATACATGCATGCCATACATACATAATGATAAAAAGGAAAGATTAGGGGTTTTAGAACATGAACACAATTTTCTGTTCCAAATTTATAGTTTTGCTCTCATCCTGAAAAAGGTAGTGTGCCCAAATGTTCTTTTCCCCTTTCCAATCGTAGATAGCATATTGTGACCCCTTGAAGAGGATTTGACCTGCAGGTTGGGAACTACTGTCCTAAAGTACTAAAAGTGCCCATTAACTGGAAAAATCCCAGAGAAAGGGTTTAATTTTGATATCAGTTATATTTCAAACACTCTTATTTAGGTAAAATAACCAAAACCAACAAACGCACAGAGAGAACAGTGATCACTACAATTGCATCACACTTTGGTGTGTTACTCACTGTGTTATCACGGTTCAACCACATGGGGGAGCTTGTTCAACAGCCAGAAACACTCTGGCCTCCGCATAACAGTTAGATGGACTTCAGTGCCTCCTGATGGTGTTTTTGTGGTAAGTGCCTCTCCCTCTTCTTGTTTTGTCCCTCTTATTCCTCCCAAAGCCTTTCACCTTTAATCTCCGTCTGCCCAGTTTGTCTGTGTGTTGGAGACTGCGGTGTTTGTTCTTGTTTACATTGACGTGCTTCGGCGCCCCAGGGCAAAAATTAGCTGTTCGATTCCTGTTGTGTCCAACTTCCTTTCACGTACAGTGGACAGGGCACACCACAGAGATCTGCTTCACTACATTTTGCATAATGTGTTGTCATGGTTGGGGGGGGGGGTCAGAAATAATATCCATGTATACATAAGTGTTGCCTTTCATCAACTATCATCAGAGTCTGATTCAAATGTTGCTGAATTGTGTTTATGTAGGACCCTTGTACTTCTAGTGAGAAGCCCATTGAGAAGGTTTTCAGGGCCCTTTTAAGGTGCGTTCAGACCGAAAGCAATGTGAATTTTTGTCTTTTGCAAAAATTTTTGCTACTAGACTGTGTTTATTTGCCCCAAAGAGCCATTGTACCCACTGTACAGATGTTAGCTGTAAGCCAGCTAGCAAAACGAGAAAAAGATACTTACTCATCAACTGCACTGCGCTTATGAAGCAGATTCATGAAGCAGCAGGATATGCGTGTATTATTTGCTCAACTTGAAACATTTTCAACCCACGTGGACGGGCTGCCCTGAGCGAATACGTGTCCAATCGTGACTTTCCACAATCCTTTGGTGCACAACTGCCTCTAAAATTTTCTTTGTGTTCTGTTTGAACACACAGTTAAAACTAGGTTTTGACACGTACACAATCACAAGAAACGAAGTTGATATTGTACGTAAGTGGCGCAGGTTCCCTGACAAGTTACCAAAAGCCATGTAAGGCTTTGAGCTAAATGCTAACGTCAGCATGCTAACATGCTCCCAGTAACAATGCCAATGTTTAATGGGTGGGCCATAATGTTTACCATGCTCACCATCATAGTTTAGTGCGTTAGCATTTGCTAATTAGCACTAAACACAAAGTATAATTTAGGCTGATGGGAATGTCATTAGTTTTGCAGATCTTTGGTCAGAGTTACACCAAAATATTGTTCAAATGTTTGACCCGATGAGTAAACATAAAGAATGCGGAAAGTTATCAGAATCTATCCTGAGGATGAGCTTCATGATTGTCATGACAGACAATCCATCCAATATTTTTTAAGATATTTCAGTCTGGATCAAAGTGGTAGACCGACCGACCGACACGACTGACTGAATTTGCCATCCGTTGAGCAGCTAGCGTGGCTAAAAACCAGGCAGCAACCTGACATTCTGAAAAGTGAAGCCAATGCGGAAGTGCCTTTCACTTGCAATCCATTTAATGGCTCCCCTGGCTGTAAAAAGATTTCTGATTGATTGACGGCTGAAATGCCGAACTCTGGGGCCTCGAGGCATGTTGTTACCCGTTGGTAATCCAACCATGCTTTAAGAGACAAAGTGCAGCCATCTATGTTTGAATCCAAAGTCAAGACATATAAGATTTGTGTGATCTCGTCTATCCAGAAACAGGTGGTAATCATCATGGCTGGACTGTTGAAACATTGAGGGGATGTGCAATAGAGACTCAACAGAGACAATTCAAGCATTAACAGTGTAGACTGTTGTTTATTGGGTGCTTTGTTCATACAAACCATAACGCTGTTGCAAAGTGTTTGTATCTATTGATGAAAGTAAGAATAAAGTGCTTGTTCTTCAACTGTACATGTTGGACTAACTTTTCATGGCCCGTTTCAAGTGATTAGAACAATGGAATAAAAGGCTTATTTATCTAATGTGAAAAGTAACAGAACTCAAGCAGAAAGACAGAAGTTCAAAATACTGAAATATTTTATTTTTTACACAGAGAAAATAAGTCTGTTGAAGTTTGGCATTTGTGTCATGCCTCCTTTCAAATAAATGGATTTTTCTCTCATAGCATTTATGTATATGATGCATAATCATTTCAAAATTAAAACAAAATCATATCATATTTACAAATACTCAATGGAAATCAAGAACAAAAAAACTTGACTTAACTGTAGATCATATTGACTAAAACAAGAAAGCAATACAGTTTACAAGATACCTCATGATTTGAGAGAAATACCCGGTCGCCATGTTCAAAAGAAGATGAGCTGTGCGTTGTTTAGATGCTGATGTTACAACTGAAAGTGTAATACCTGGAAACAGAGCAAGTTATGATCGAAAGCCGAGTGGATTTTGTGACAGCTGTAAAAAATCTTTTATGTTCAAACTAGTTCAATACTTTGGTTGGATGCACACAGACAAAGAGAGGAAACAAATGGATGGGCCGCCATTACCATTGATTAAACTCCTGACTCTCTGCTGATGTATAAAGGTAGGGTGGGCTGTAGTCTGTCAAGGCTGATCTGATTCTCTGAGTCCAGAACGCACAGCATCTCCACCTTCTGCTCCTCCACAAATGTCTCTTTGAATCCCAAGTGAATGTCATCCCTTATCTTTACCTCTCTGTCACTTCTTACGTTCAGACTCCCCACCTCCTCTTTCACATCCTCCTCGTCGTCCCCGCAGCACAAGGCCACCTCGTTCTCGTAGCAGAAAGCGCTGGGGGAGTGAGGGCCCAGGATGTGGCGGGCTGCCCTCTGGGCAAATGGCGATGGAGACCGGGAGTAACTCGAGCTGGAGGATGAGGACTGCCCGCTACGACCCATCATCTGGTTTAGTTCCCTGGCACTGCAGTGAGGCGTAGATGGCACTTCGTAGGACTTATGGAAGCGGGAGTAGTCCACCTGGTAACGGTCACCCTTCTCAAAGACCACCGGCTCAAAGCGGTGACCCCACAGGATCTCCTTGGACAAGTAGGAGCTGCGGGCCTGAGTGGTCATAGCTGTGGCCTCCACCATCCCCTCCAGGATGACCACGATCTCAAAGTCTTCCTTGAGCAGGTCGTTGCGGGTCAGGTTATACAGAGGACTGTTCTTGTTGATCTCGTGGACCACCACCAGCGGCGACACCAGAAACAGCCGGTCCAGCCCGTCGTCATAGCCGACATCAATGTCTGTTTGCTCCAAAGGGAGGTACTCGCCCTCCGCCGTCACGTGCGGCTTAATGAGCTGAGCGCGAACATGTGCTTCAACAATGTGGCTCTTGCGCATGTTGCCCATGCGCCACATGAGGCACAGCTTGCCATCTCGCAGAGCGATGACGGCATTATGCGAGAACAGCAAGGTCTGCGCCCGCTTCTTGGGGCGCACCATCTTTGCCATGATGGTGCCGATCATGAAGGAGTCAATAATGCAGCCCACGATGGACTGGACCACCACAGTCATCACAGCGGCTGGGCACTCTTCGGTAACACACCGGAAGCCGTATCCAATGGTGGTCTGGGTCTCTATGGAGAAAAGGAAGGCCCCGATGAAACCCTGGATGTGGAGAATACATGGCCGCCATTCGTCTTTTCCGTCCCCTACGTTGTTTCGAGGATCCCCTTCCTTCACGGGTATGCGAAAGCTAAAGTCTCCGTGAATGAGCGCCACCCCCCAGAAGATCACGCCAAACAGCAGCCAAGACAGAAGGAAGGTGGTGGTGAAAATGAGCAGCAGATAGCGCCAGCGTATGTCCACGCAGGTGGTGAAAATGTCAGCCAGGTAGCGCCGTGGCTTATCTTCCATGTTGTTGAACACCACGTTGCACTGGCCGTTCTTTCTCACAAAGCGGCTGCGCAGGTGGCCGGTGCCCAGATCCAGGCCCAGACGACATGAAGGTGAAGCGCGGCAGCTTTTGTGGATGATGGGCTCATTTGTTACTCTCAAAGACAAAGCCCCTCTTGCCTCATCACGTCCTGGACACTCTCCTCCTCCTCCTTCTTCAGCCCGCATGCAGGCCCCCGACAGCGCCTGCTGAGTCAGAGAACTGTGGCCGTTGTGGAGGCCTAAGCTGGAGATCTTCAGGGCATCTTCGTCTGTGGAAACGATGCTGTATCTGGACGAACAGAGGGAAGAAAATTTGTTCAGGGGAATTGGCAGCTTATAAAGCTCTGAAACTCTCCGTTCTATAAGTATGAAAGCAAATACAATGTACAGACCTGTGGCTGCTTAGCTTACATACTTGTCCATATTTTCAAACAGTTTTCACATTTTACGTAACAAGAGAAAAGGCGTGAGCCGCTAACATTACCCTCAACTCTGAAAAATGCCAGGATTGGCTTGCATACAGTAGGGAAATACTACACAGTGGATGTATTAGTGGTGAAAGGTTTTTTTTTTTTTGTAAATACACTGTTTAATTCATTCTTTATGCTTTTGCTCTTGTGCTTTTGGTTTTGAAACAAATACACTACCCTCCAAACTCGTTAAATGCGGAGTATCTCCCCTACTACAGCTCCATGCACACTCCTTCAACATGTGAAGAAATCCAAAGCTTGCCAGACCTGCATTGCCTAGTTATTGTTACTAAGCTACGATTGCCAACAGTTAATTGGATTATTTTGGTGCCCTTTTCTTATACGTCACATTTTATAAAGGGTTTATCGATTGTAACTAATGTCTTTCTTACTGGTTTAACCATTTACCTTATTTTATCCCCATCAGTTATAAGTATAATCTAGAACAACCTTTAGGTTGACAGGCTGTAAAAAATCTCATGCTGTACAAAACGTCACGCCATTAATAAATCCTCATGATTCTCACACTTTCTAATAAACAAGCAAGTTTGCAGCTATAAATCTTGATACGCTATGTGTGAAGAGTAATAAACTATCACAGTTACACAAACTATAAACTCAATAAAGGATCATTACATACATGGGTTTCTCAACAAAAATTAGTGAGTCATCTGCATGGAAATATAAATGTTATGTATACAGGGTTTCTGTAATAATCCATCAAGTCTGCAGGTATAAATGTTCTTAATAGTTGTTAAATGTGTTGTCCAGATGCCCTGCAGCCATGTTCCATATGGAGGTAAAATGATCTATTTGAGGGTCCACCTGATAGTGTCCATTTTTCACTACCTGGCAACCCAAATGTTGTTCTAAATATTAACTTATAATTGAGCTATTACGTACCAGTTAATAATAAAATAAGCCCTTTATTAAGGTTGACTTATAAAAGCAGTACACATATGTTTAATATCTATAATTTTGTGGTGGCAGCAGTAATTTGTTGTTTTTGAGGTTGATATGGAACAAAACTATCCAAAACTTTCTTTTTATTTTCTTCAATAAAACAGTTGTGGGCACTGACGCAGTTCTATTCCCCATCGTCTCTTACCTATTGACTCGCACCGCTCCCATGGCACCGGTGATCATCAGGCTGTGTCTGCGAGGGCAGTAATGTAGGTTGGGGCGGGCAGTTCCAACCATTAAAGTACTGTTGCTGGACAGGGAGGCAGTATGAGCTCAGGTGCTTCTCGCATTTGTTGTCAGCGCTGCCTTCTCATGATACATTTTCTGTGAACAAAGAACATTTGATTAATCATCAGAATGGTGAACTTAAGTACATTTAACATGTAGTACTTTTAGCTAAATGCTAACATAAACATGCTAACATGCTCAGAATGACATTGTTAACATGCTAATGTTTACTGTGGCAAATAGTGTTTACCATGATTAGCACGCTAACATGCTAAACAGACGTGACCATGGTAACATCTGGTAATTAGCAGCAGTACGGCTGAGGCTGATGGGAATGACATTAGTTTTGCAAGACTTTGGTCATAGTTTTGGACAAATTGAAAATTTGACCTGAGCCAACTTTCATGGCAGATCATCCAACATTTGTTGAGATATTTCAGACTAAAAGCAGGGGATCAAGCGACATTGCCATCCATAGTGCCACGTCGCAAGCGCAACTAAAAATTAGAAGAATCAAAAATCTCTCTGTGCAAATTTTGGCCTCGCTCTAATGCACGGAGCAGACCAGACAGTTTTTTGGTGATGAAAGCTTATTGATTAGGTTCTTGCTAGTGGTTAGCCTTAGGGACCTTCATGGCCAACCAGGGGTGGAAAACCAGACAGGCAATGGAAGGGACAAAGGTCTAAAAAAGAGATGAATCAGTGGTAAGCTACTGTTAGAGGAACAATTGATCTGATGTTTGGCCTGATGACAAGATTGAAGGGTAATTTTGCTCGGCTTATTATGTCAGCAAGCTGGGAACCAAGAGAACCAAAAAGCACTGGGTTGCATAACCAATAGAAGGCCAATCGCACGCAACACGAAAGGGCAGCAGTTGTTGTTGTTGATGTTTTATGGTACCCGAATCCTTTCGGCTGATATAAGTAAATTAGTGACAATAAAAGGTAGTAATAGATTGTCTTGGGAAAGTCTCTGACAACTGCGGTTTAAAAGCCTTTGTTCTATATCACCGTCAATAACAAGTACACGCAAATAGAAACACACTCACACACACACAAACATGTACAGATTTTGATGGGATTTGTTGTCATGTAATGTGGGCCGTGTGTGTGTGTGTGTGTGTGTGTGTGTGTGTGTGTGTGTGTGTGACGCTTCAAGACTCTTTTTCCTGTTACACCAAGGACAGATGTTACGAACTGGCTGCTGATTGGCTGGATGAAGAGTGATTGTCGACTGGATAATCCCAAAAGGGCAGATGATTGCGTCAGCTCGATAACTCCCACAGCTGGAGGAGTGAGTCATCTACGTGAAGTCCCAACCTTTTCTCACAGAGTCCTTAAAGACGACAGCCAATATGCCAATACGGTCACCGCGTAGCTCAGTGTCAGTGCCAGCAGCATCATGAGCGGGATTAGGACAGAACAACACAGTTCACGAGCCAGTCTGCTTGAGTGAAAGACGTCATTATTGTGGTGTAATTCTGCTGAATTTATCTTTTGTTTTATTTTATACTGTTACTATTGGTGAGGAGAACCCCATGTTTTTTTTTACATCAGCATCGGTTGTTTTTTACATGTTGGTGTTGTTTCTAATGTTCCATGTGTTAATGTTGTTGGTTTGTTTTTATTTCCGTGTCATGCCAAACATTTGGTCCATTCAACATGGAATTACAAGACACAGCTATTTATAAAAAATATATAACATGCCTATTTCTTTTTTTAAATAAGTTGGTATATTGGAAAGGTCAATAAAGTTGCATTGCATTGTGTTATTTTATTACATTTTTCTGAGAATAATTCAGCGTTACTTCTGAAGAATGAGACTTGTGTTTCATCATTAGAATCATGCAAAGCTGAATGTATATCATATTCAGTTGTTGTTGAAATGACAGAGATGTGAGTGGACTGTTCTTTTGTCGACCTGTTGATAATGTAATGCAGTATAATAGTGTGTGGGGAAAGTGTTGTTGCCATGATGACCATCAGGTTTATAGTGGAACAGAGTTTTATACAAAACACCAAGACAAAGCTATCCACACTCGACGTCCACTAACTGGCTCTGCTTTTGGGCGCACGTAGACATGAAGTCCTAAAAATGCTCTGCTGTCATTTCCATGACAACTGAGCAAATTCCATCCAGACAAAAGCTATCGAGTGATCCTCGAGTCAAGACTGTTTTTGTCAAAACGCCAACTACGAAATTCAAAAATGATGTCAAAAACTCTCAAGATAAAAATGATAATCTTCACAAATGTGGCATGTGTTGCAGGAGCATTACACCGGTCCATTTGACTGGATTCATGTTATTGTTTTAGTATCTGTGACTTATCAAAGACCTAATCCATGTTCGTTTCATGCCTGCCCGGTGAAGCTGTGTTTACATTTCAATATATGACATTGAACCCAAAAGAACTGAGATTGTTTCATGTTTGTGGATGTAAATGCTTTTTTTCGTAAATGCTGATGTATATGTATGTTAGTAATTGTATGCCTGAATGACCAATAAATACCACCATTAACTCAATATTGCTACTAATTCAGCCAGTATCTGCCTGGCTTTATTTCTCAGCTGACGAGATCCCTGGGGGAGAGTACAAGTAATTAATGGCTGATCATCGTTACTGTATTGGCCGTCTCCATAGGAACATCTCTCCTCTCCCTCTATGGGGCTTTGTGTGTGTGTGTGTGTGTGTGTGTGTGTGTGTGTGTGTGTGTGTGTTTTGTGATGGTTTATCATGTGAGACAACTTGAGAGGAGGAGGTTGAGGAGGTGGTAAACTGACCGAGGAGAGGAGATGAGAGGAGAGGAGGGGTAAATAAGCCCTGGACCAGTGGAATTCATTGGCAGAAATGGTATATAAGTTTTCATGTTTTCATCAGTGTATAATCACCAGAAACTAGTTCTTATTTTTTATTATTTTAAACTGTCATTGTGTTTTTGTTGGTGCCTAAATTGAGCCTTTTATATGGGAGCGGGTCATCTTTATGGAGTCCACCATGTTTCTACAGCAGCCCAGAACGGACAAACCAAACAGTGGCTCTAGGTAGAGCCTTTTGCATTTTTATATGAACAAGTAAATCACAAGGTAGCCCCGCCCTAAATCATACCCTGCTTTATGGTCTATTGACTCTAAATGGACCATAATTTACTAAATGAACATCATGCTGTATTGAAGAAGACTTGAAACTAGAGATTGAGACCATAAACTCATGTTTGCCATGTTTGAATCAATAAGTAATAAATCAAGTGAGAAGTACAGTCGGGTTGTTTTCTAATTTTACTTTTATACAATCACGCTTCTTTTTGCAATCAGAGGAGTCGCCCCCTGATGGCCATTAGAAAGAATGCAAGTTTAAGGCACTTCCTCATCGGCTTCAAATTTCAGACGCAGAGGTTGCTGCCTGGTCTTTATGTAGTTGGTGTAACAATCTGCAACCTCACTGCTAGATGCCACTAAATCCTACATACTAGTCCTGTAATTTAGCCACCTACACTCATAAAGAAGCACCAAAACATGCAGTAAACCACAGCTGTCTACAAATACGGATTATTATTACTACGCAGAGTGTCGAAGACTCTGACGTAGCTCTTATCCAGGTACGTCAGTAGAACTAAACTGACATATATTACAGTATAATCTCATGCAAAGTAAAAGTATGGAGGGAGCCCTTGTCAAATACCAGATTAGTATGTCCCTTAATCTCCCAATCCAAACAACAATATGAAAGGTGGATGGCAGTTGCTGTGTGACCTGGTTTAAGCCCTTTTGTGTAATCTGAGATCCAATGATATGAGAAAGGAAGAGAGGGATAAGGAAAAAAAGGAATAAAGGCCATGAGGTCCTCTACGTTGGACAGAGTGTGAGAAAAAAAATACAGATTAAGATGAAGAGATAATGATGTTAGACAATGTTACTACAACGTGTAATGTCATTTACAGAAAAGTAAAAGATTTACACACAAACACACGCCAAATGTGCAATTCTTTGACAAAGGAATGTGTGAAAATGTGTGAGAGAGCTGCATTTGGTCATGCCCTGTATTTACACGACAATCCTTTCTCATTCTTCCTCTCTTTTTCTGTATCTTTGTATCTGTGTAATGTCTTTAAGTGGACATTCCACACAGTGGTCCACACAGTGTCCTAAAAAAATATGGACCTGTGTGTTTAACAGAGGAACATCATCCACATCATCAACACACACACACACACACACACACACACACACACACACACACACACACCAACAACAAATAACTCTTAACAGTAATAGATGAACAATAGAGTAGCTCATTTGTGTTCTCTACTACTTTCTAAATACATTTACTCAAGTTTTGAGCTACTTGTACTTTACACAAGTATTCCTGTTTTTTTTTGTTGGTCATTTATCCTTTTGCTGCACTAAATTTCAGATGCAAATATCAAACATTTGTTATAGATCCTCCTTAAATGCTGGTTACATGTTAATGCGTAGGTAATAATTTACTGTGTATGAAACATATGGCACTCTGAATAGGGACGTTTTGCATAATGAGTACTTTTATTTTTTTATTTTACGTATAATAATAATTATTATTTTTTGTTGTCATCCTACTAAACTAAGTATTGTTTAGTTCCTTAAGAGTAAAATAGAGAATAAAATGGAACTTAATACTTCATCTTTGCACATGCATCACTGTTGGAGGAAGTCAATGGCTCACACAGTGCAACCAGAAGTTATGACGGGGCAGTTTGCAAACTAAGCTGCAGCTGTGACGTGAATTGGTTTCATTGAGGCCACAGGAGCTGTCCAGTGCTGAAAATCAATCCAAAGCCTGCAGGAATAATCGACAGCTGGGAGAGGAGAGGTGGTGGGGGGGGGCAGGTGCGGGGATGAAGTATTA